ATATATATATATATATATATATGGAAACATTTATGGGAAAGATAAAGCATAGCTCATTTTAATATTAAACTAAATTGGAATAAAGTCAGGCACCAGAAAAACCTAACAGCTCTACATAAACTAAAGAAAAGTAACTAAGAGTGTTTTATTAACTCTGGCTAACAATGTTTTATTTCCTCAGAACTAAAAAGAAGTACATTTTAACTGTTCTTATTTTTTATTAAAACCTTTCCAAGCAAGTACTGAGGAAATACACAATATATAATACAAGGTGACGTGTGCATAAAAATTTTTGCTTCCGCCTAGCTTTACATCTACTGGTTGAACTCTGATTGTCTTCACTGCTGTAAGTAACTAGAAAACCGGACAAGATATACAAAACAACTATTTGCAGCAGTGAACTACTATAATGCAGGGCTATTATCCTGAGAAAAGAATAACAGAGGAAATAAACCTTAACAACTGTCCCAGACTGCTACTTGGAGGTGGTTAGCAGGCAGAGGAACCAAAATGAAGCTCACTGGTCTTGCTACATTTGAAGAGCTCATGGTGACTGATTACTGTGCTGGGAGATTAGAGTGCTGCAAAAGCAGACAAGCACCAGAGATCTGAGGAAATTCTCCTGGAGGATTTGGGGGAGGAGTTAATCTGCCTGGGATAAAAGAAGTGAGTTGAGTAGTAATTAACAAGACTGAGGAAAGACTGTCTGGAAACCAGTAAACCAGATAATTCCGGACCTCACAGATCTGGAAAGAGTTAAAGTCCTCACCAGCCAGACTGGAGGATGCTTGTACTACATGGGACACTGGATGGCATTCTCAGCAGGACTGTGCTTTTAGCAGGAACAAATTGCTGTAGAAGAGAAGCAGTTATGCATTTACCTTCACATCTTAAAAGCAAGCCTCAAAGTATCTTAATTGATCTTTAGGTAACTTGTGTATTAGAAAGAAGTTCAATACTCAGAAAAAAAAATCCATCTAACATTCAACAAGGTAAAAATCCTAACTGATGGATATCTAATCAAAAACTACCATGTGTGCAAAGAGAAAAGAAAAATTAATCGAAAGAAACATACCTAGAAATTAGAGAATGGAATTAACAGAAACGCATTTTAAAGAGGTAGAAATATCATAAATATTCTCAGATAAAAAGGAAATTGAAGCAGGGATTTAGCTCAGTGGTTCTGCCGCTTCCCTCTGCCTCACAAGCACAGGTCTGGAGTTCAATCCCCGGTATCAGAAATAAAAGGAAACTGAGAACATGCTAGAAATAGAAAATCCGAAAAAACTAGAATTTCCTAAGATGAAAAATACATGGAATGAGAGTAGGAACAAATTAGATCCAGCAAAAGAAAAGTTCTAAGAATTTGAAGACAGCAATAGGAACTATTTAAAGCACAGAAAAAATAAAGTTCTGTGTGCTATGTAAAAGTATGGTGCTATATGAAAATAAAAAGCGCAACTGGAGTCTGAAAAAGAGAGAATAGAAAGGTGGGACTGACCAAAAATAGTAACAATGTACAGAAGAACATAAGCTCACAGAAGCTAAAGAAACCTCAAGCAGAAGGAATAAATCCGCACCTAGGCACAAAACAATCAGCTTGCTGAAAAACAGCTACAAGGAGAAAAATCTTACAGATTTCTAGAGGAAAAACATACTGAATAACAAAAAGTAAAAGTAACAGTGGCCATTCATCATACATGTAGAAAAACCTCCATTCTGATGAAAAGAACTGTTGGAACTTATAAATGATTTCTGTAAAGATGCAAGATACAAAATCAACATACAAAAAAAAAAGCTGTATCACTTTTATGTGCCAATAACAAATAGTTGAAAAGGAGATTTTTTTTAAAATCTTATACACAAAACATATACACACACGCCCATGCACACACACCAGGAATCATTTTAACCAAGGGAGTGAAATTTTTATATAATGAAAAGTATAAAGCAAAGAAATTGTACGGACATAATGTGGAAGAATTAATATTGTTAAAATGTCTATTCTAAAAGATTTGCAGATTCAGTGAAACATTGACATGCTAAAAACATTTTTCTTAGGATTAGGAAAAGATAATTACAGAATTTATATTGGATCATAAAAGACCTCTCATCCTGAGGGGGGAAAAAAAGTTAGTTCTTAGCGCCTTCCTATAAACCAGTCACTGGATGTAGGCTAATCCTGGGAGGAGATGTATCATTGGGCTAGGTATCTCCTTTGAGCTGAGCACAATATCAGACTAAAGAACACACTGCCAAGATGTATTAATGAAAACAATGTACTGACATATAAGCAAACACATGGACTAATGGCACAGAACAGAAAATTCAAGTTAATCTGTGACCAAATGATTTTCAATGAAGTTACTAATGGCATACATCGGAGAAAGGACAGTTACTAAGAAATAGAGGGAAATAATGCACATGTGCTGAAAAATGAAACTAGACATTGTACCTCTCACAATGTACAAAAGCTCAAAATGGATCACGGACCAAAGCAGAAGACCTGAAATTATGAAACTACTAGACATTGGGATAGGCAAAAAAAAAATTTTAGCTAAGACCCCCAAAAGCATTGACAAAGCCAGACAAAGGGGACTGTGCCAAACTTAGAAGCTTTTGCAACTGAAGTAAGAAGTAATCCATAGAATGTGGAAAGATATTTATGTTATTCACATGATGGGGTTAACACCCAGAATATGAGGAACACACACAGCAGTAAATAAATAGGGACAAATGATCTGAGTTGGGGTTTCTCAAAAGATAAACAAATGGCCAGCAAGTATATGAAACTAGGCATCATGGAACACCAAACCAAAACCACACAATGATATCATAAAAAAGACAGAGTAATAAATGTTGGCAGAGACGTAGAGAAAAGCAAACTCATACTATTGGGGGCAGGGAACATAAATTAGTACAGCCACTATGAAAACAGACTGGAAATTCCTCAGGAGAAAAGAGCTAAAAATAGGTGTACTATTATATTCAATGAGGGGTAAATTTGTTACTTTACTTCCATTCTGCTGTCTCTCTGTGTCACTTGCAAATTCCTTCCGCAACACTGCCACGTTGATCCAGCTATTTCACAACTGGGCCTGTATATCCAAAGGGAATAAAATCATATCACAGAGATAGGTGCATTCCCATGTTCACTGTTGGACCAGTAGCAACAGGCAAGCAAGCAGTGGTGTCAGCCCACTGCATACAAAACAGCTGTGTATACACAGTGGATATTATTCTGCCACAGAAAGATTAAACCATGCCACTTGCAGCAGCGTGGATGGAAATGGGGGACTTTGTGTTGAGATAAACCAGGCCCAAATGATAATAATGACATGTTCTTGGGCCGGGGATTTAGCTCAGTGGTGCCACCGCCTGCCTT